TCTCAAATTTTATTTACAAGTTCATTTTATTTTATTTCTAACAAATGTTTCATAAAACTAATAATATTTTGTTGTTTAATGTATGCAGACAATTTAACTTAGACACATATACATTTGTAAAATATRTATATACATAATACCTACAATGTTTTAAAGATATTCTGTTTTAATTTCTTTAAATTGAAATTTACTTGRAAAAATTCAGTATGTAACTTGTAAATCAATCATTGTCATTACCTAATCGAAATTCCATTAGTAAGTTCCTTGACAAATAATATGACTCCACATTTGCATGAGTACCTAATACCTATTACATATACATACATAAATCTTTAAATTTAAAACTAGTTTTTGAAGTTTATGATAATTATAGAATATAGATAGGTACCTAGCTGTTCGTATCAATATCACCCTTAACTCATAGGTAGTCATCTACGTCATTACCTGCATAATGATACAATATTAARAAATTCGATATAATATCTTGTTCATTTATTTTATCCATTCAAGGGATAGTTAAGTTAACRATATTTATTAATAAAAATAAGTTAAGTGATAGATAATAGTTTGAAAAGACTTTTAAGTTAATATATAGTTGACTAATTTTTTTTAACTAAGCCAAGTTAAAGTTGTTTGAGAACTAACAATTTTATTTACTTCAGTAAGGTTAAGTTTATTATTTTAAAATAACAAATATCGTTGAATTTAGACAATTATACATATTTTACTGTAACTATTAAATGATAAATATTTTACTTTTTTATAAAAAAAATATTGTTTAGCATAGTTCTTTTGAGAATTATACTTAATGATAAATGTACCTATTGATTTTTGTAATAATTCATTATTAATAAGATGTTTTTCCCTAAATTTCCGATTGGTACCAAAAAAGGTTATTTCATGAAACAATTCTGACTAAAAGCAACAATAAGAAGAAAATTTACGAATCAAATTTTTATTTAATATCAAAGATATTATATGCTTATGAATCATCAATTATTATTGTATTATTTTATTATTTATAAATAAACGTAACTAAGATTTGAATGAAAATAACATGTAATTTGTTGA